CTCGTATAACTTCGTTAAAGGTATGCTATACGAAATTACGCATTATTTGATCAATCCCTTTTTGGGATGCGGCACGCATTCTACTTCCATTTGTACATTCGTAGTGGCGTTTGAATGCGATGTGGCCTATACAATGACTTGCGGGGGCCAGCCGATGTACAAGTCAGTGTTTTTATCCTCCCAGACAAGTCTGGTACCAATTAACCGACCCCGGAGGGATGGAAGGCTTGGTTGGCCCGGGCGACTCACGACCCAGGATTTGATCCCCGGACCGCTCGCGTGGTAAGCGTGCCACTTGCCACTACACCACTTCCGCCCATGTATAATTATTGCGGATTTTTCAACAATTTTTATTCAGTGAAACGATAAAAAATATTCAACAAAAACATGTTTAAAAATTATTCCTGTTCACCATCCTTCAAGAATGCTTCCCATTTGCTTGGCAGTCGGTCGATTCCACGGGTGAAGAAGTCACGATTCTTGGAGACGATCCACGCTCTAACATCGGCCACCAAGTCATCCAGCTCGTCGTAAATTTTGTTCGTTTGCCAGTTTTTCAACGACTGATTGAAGTGGTAGTCTGTAGGAGCTTCGGTCGGTAAATATGGCGTTTTGAACCTCTTGAACCATCTTTCAACTTGGCTTTTGCTGATTGTTCCCTCGCCGAAAAGTTCGTTGAGATCGCAAAATGACTGTGCCGCTTTTCTTTCTCGATATTGTGGAGCATATATGGCGAATATGAAGAGGATTTTCCATGATTCCATGAGCGTTTTCGACAATGTAAAGAGAAGAATATTTTCAAGAAAAAAATGCCAAGCAAAACGCCAACGTTTTCGAGAAAAGGCGCAAAAAAAGCCGCAATAATTATGCATTAACCCAATAGCTATACAAACAGATTAAGAAGGAAGCACAGCTGAAGAACACCTTCGACTCAACCATATAGGTTGCAATCAAATTGGTGCGGTGTTTCGCTCGAAAATGAAACAAGAAATACGAAGAGGATCATCAGTGAGGAACAAAACAGTGAATCATGGAAAACACCCGAATCAGTCTTCCTTTTCTCAAGAGACGTGGTCAACGGAGAGACACGGCGCGGCGAGAGCGAATAGACGAGAGAACAAGTACTGAAAGGCAGAAGTCGTGTCACTATCGTGACTCCAAAATGTGCTGCAGGGGCGTCTAGACATCCGCGAAGGCGCAACGTACGCTGTGTCAGCGCCCTTTTGGGTGACTTGTTCTCTCTCCTACTCACTCTCCTCGCTGCGATGCCTCTTTCCGTCGAACCTCTACTACTCTCATTCACGTGCGCGAAAAAGAATTGGCTCAATGGATCCTGAGTAGTTTTCTAGTGCTTACTGTCATCAACAAGGAATCAGGAAAACAGCCAGCTATGGTTGTTTTTTTTATGATCAGAGGAAGACAGAAAAAAAAACTTAATTACCGGAAAACGTTCATTTGCCGCTATTTTTTAAGCAAAATCAAACCGTAAGTGCCTATTTCTTTTCTCTTCCTTTTCCATTTTCATTACATTCCCGTTCATTTTTTGCTTCTTTCTCGTTGTTTTTCCTATTTGTTTTCGATTTTTCAAAATTGCTTACAACGTGTTACGATTTCATGTTCTTGGTTTCTCATAAATGCGACTGATAACAAGTAGATAAAAATTTTCATCAATTTTTGTAGCAAAAACAATTTACAAGCAGTATAAGAAAAAATTCGAACAGAAACGACTGTAGTATGGCCGGAGAAAACAACGGAAAGATCACGACAGAATCCATCAATAGTCCTCGTCATCAGAATCAAGGTTGTTGCGACGTCGATCGAACTGAAACTTTTTCCAAAATCAGGGAGGGCAGCTTTAACAACTGAGAGATTCATTGCAATGAATAAATCAAACAAAGGGCCAATTAAAAAAAAACGCTGAGAAACTCCTGGAATCGGATGTGCCAATTTCACATTTTTGCTTTCATCCTAACCTCTAAGGCCTAGGTAGCGAGTGAAGCAATCCCCAAATTAGTAGAACAGTTCAGAATACCTATGTCATGCTCAAAAACCGCCAGCAGAGTTTATTGTCAGAATAAGAAAAGGTATCCATTAAAACGGCCATATTAGTCACCTTCCCAACTAAATGGAATTAACACGTTGACGGCATTCTGACGCGCATGCGCGTCAGAACAATGTCATTCATTTTTATCGTGCTTGCGCTCCTTCTTCTCGAGTTTTTTGTATTCATTCTATAGATAATACATTAGCATAACTATAAACCACATGGCAGCCAGAGTGGTCAAATATCCTTGATTTAGCAAAGATTTTCTGAACGCACAAAACTTTCATTCAATTCTTTCCTAGTTTTCCTTTCACTGTCGTAAACATTCATATGAAAGATTGTAGAAGCAGTTAATACAAAACTCTGTGAGTTTCAAGATATTTGTATTTGATGGAAGAACTTAGGTATAAATGCTTTTAACTTCATTCGCAGCGAAAGTGATGTTTTTTTACTTCTTCGTGGTCATTATGCGTTCTTCTAAACAAAAATCTACTGCTACTTATATAACCTTTATGCTTTCATCCTTGCCGAAATAATTCTATGAGATTCAAGTTGTTGTGCATTTTTAAACAAAAAATAAGCGGAAGTAAGGTGAGGACGGCGCGCTCGCAAAATCGCTCCTGTCCCACGCGGTGCAAAATGCCAAAACACGCGATGTCGTCAACGTGTTACTAGAACCATAACAGACCAAAATTGTATCCCAACTAGTAAAGTAGCTTGCCTTTACAGTAGTGGTACGTGTCGTTTGTTGAGAAATACGCTCAATCAACTGCTTGAAGCCTTCATCTGACAGTTTACCGGCAATTTGGCCACGTCTGCAAAAAAGAACGTGAACGTGATATAAACTGCAGTTGTTATGAGGATGAAACAAAGTTATCGAACCAGAGCAAATAAGACTTGCCCTTTGTGTATGTGAAAGCAGGAGAAAAATTGCAGGAACTGAATCAAAACTCCCCAAGATCGCTTGCCATTCAATGAAAAGAACAATAAACCTTGACATATCAAAGGAACCCTTCGCGGAAAAATCATGATTCTATTTCAGCCATAAGTCATGGCTTGAGACTCATCATCGGTTGACGGACTACTTGAACTCAGCCCTTTACCGCCTCTGCGCTCTCTAGCGGGTCCCTCTCCTCTCCAAGGCTTAGTCCTAGGGCATTCTCTAATCGTCTGTGCTCTAGCCATCGCGGCAGGACCATTGAGAATCGCGGAAAACATTTATTCTACTTTCAGCCATAGCTCATGGCTTGAGACTCATCATCCATGATAAGAATGAAAACAACAGAAATTGCATTTGTTCTGGTGAAAAAAATCGAAAAACCGGAAGGGCTGTTACGCGTTCAAAGTACCGCCGCACATCTGTTACAAATGCTAGCGACGGGAATGCTTTCACATGGTTATTGAGTGCCTTCACTAGAAACTCTTTCTGGCCTTTTGACTTATTGCATTCACATCTCACACTTCTACTCCATCCTATTCTATCGATCGATTTGTCTCTACTCTCCAAAATCGCACGCTTTAACCCGATTCTTTCATTGCGTCGCCTGATACGTAGCCGCCCCAAGGCGGACTTCTTTCCATGCCCCGCCTTTGGCTCCGCGCCTTTACCTTCGATTGTCCATAGTGTAGTTTTTGTAAGTTTGTTTCTCTTCGGAAACCGAATCTTCATGCGTGAAACTTTGTGTGCTGTTTCCAGTGATCACAACTGACACATTCATGTTGAAAAAGAATACATCCGCGAAGGATTCCTTTAAACAATTTTCACTTACCGAGCCATATTTATGACTGCAGATTCAACCATTTTAGCCTTTTCAGGCTTTGCAGCAGCTAGATTGCTTAGACGCACTAATGCTTGCTGGTCAAGAATCTAAACAGATACAACTTTAAATCCGGCTAACATCATGAAAACATACTGAGTACACAAGCGCTTTAATACGCACACTTCGTCGCGAACCTGTGAAAGCATCGAATTTAAGGCATTTTCTTGATTTTCTGCTTGCTGACGAGCTTGTTCTTGTTGGTTATCACCTTGACCAGCACCCTGAATACATAAATCACTGAACCATCACAAAGGCAACTTGATTTGACACTGCCCTGCAATTCTTATACTTTATTTCGTTCTTAGCAGGCCTTTTACAGAAGCAAGTTTTGCCTGTGAAACTGCCAGTAAACCTTTCCATAAGTTACAGATCAACTTTACAGTACATGGGCGCATACAGATTAGCATAAACTACTGCTGGCCAGAATGGCAAAGGTGGTAGAGTATTAAGGATGGCTGGTTTTGGGTGACAAAATTCGGGTGCTCACTAGGACAAAAAGCGACTTTCTTTCGCGTTTCGCAGCGCGAAACATTTTTCGCTGCAGGAACCTCAGGTCCACCGCTGATCATGAGTGGACCTGGAACTCTAACGCTTCGCGCGCGAAACGCGAAAAAGTCGCTTTCTGTCCTAGTGAATCACACACGACAAATTTCTGGCAAAATGTCTGAAATCTTTAGAAATTATCGGAATGAGAGAAACAATAAAGATAACATTCGTACCTGAGCAGCCACGCCAGGCGGTAATTGTGGAGCGGTATTCATGTAAGTGTTTCTGTAAAGGCAATAAACAATTGAGAAAACAATTGAAGCGGAGCGAGATCATAGAACGTTTATCATACCCAACAACGAAGTTTGCCATGGTGACAGAGTGGTAAAACGAAACGAAGGAGCATCAATAAAGAGGTACATTCCACGTGATAGCTCAAAGCACTAGCAAATAATGCACAAAACGAAAACAGCTGTTCACATCGTGCTGAATAAATGTCCACAACGGCTTTGTGTATAATTGCGTGCAACACTGCACAAGAAGCTTTTTGGCACCGTAACCACGACCACTTTCA